ATTGTCTCCTAAGTTCTCCACTTATGTTTATATACTCATATATTTAGGCATATGCAAACCTGTTGTGCTACTTGATTCACAGGGTTTACCAATATTGTCATCATATCTATCTATAGAAGGGTATCATAGAATGTAAAATATCTCAAAATTAATAGGAAAATATGGAACATACAGGTACTATATTTTTTAAAATGTTCTAGTCTTGGGGTTGGCATGGTGGCCTAGTGGGTAAAGCCACTGCCTGCAATGCCAGCATTTCATATGAGCGCCAGTTCATGCCTGGTCACTCTACTTTGATCCAGCTTCCTGCTAATGGCCTAGGAAAAGCAGTGGAGGATGGCCCCAGTACTTGGGCTCCTGCTGTCCACATGAAAGACCCAGAAGAAGCTCTTGGATCCTGGCTTCAGCCTGGTTCTGCCCTGGTCATTGTGGCTACTTGGAGTGAATCAGCAGATGGAAGATATTTTCTCCATCTCTTTCTCTCTGTAAATGACTTCAAATGAATAATTCTTTAAGAAATTATGTTAGTCTGATTACTAGGATAATTTTTAACTTTACCAACTACAATCTAATGTACATATTAATATAAAAGTCTGAGAAAGGAGAGCTGTGAATTGGAGAACACTACAATTACTATATACTTTTATATAGGCATGGCATTTTACTTCTTTCATTGAATTCTATGTTTGATTTCCTTCATCAAAGTGCCCATATTCATCTTGATAAGTACCCCTAAATCCAAGATGCAGACAGTGTTACCTTGAACACTCTAGAACACCATCTCCTTTCTCTCCCTGCTATAGCTAGAATCCCATTGGCCCCATTCCATCCTTCCTACCTGCCGTGCTTCCTTCTGTCCTATATCATTGTCTCTGCTGTTCTTACTACTTGGAATGCTTTTCTTCCCTTCTGTCAAATTAAAATGGACCATCCTTTTTTGCTACTCAAATGTTGCTATGTCTGGCAGATCTTCATTGACCTCCATGAATAGGTTAAATTGCCTGTTACAGTTTCCTATCATTGATGTCCCTAGCTTTTTTTGTTTGCTTGTTTCCTTTAAAGGATTTGTCACAGCTGCAATTTTATGATTTTTATATTTTATACTGTAATTTTTTTTACAAATGTCTTTGTCCATTGCAGGTTTTGCTAGCTACTTTATGCCTGGAATGAAGCATACTTGCTTGATACAGTAAATATTTTAATCAATACATTTAATAAAGGGATATTGGATGAAGAAATGAAGAGATTAATGAAATTTTGTTTTTGATAGAAATAGGATATCACATATTTAAGTGGGACCATTTTCTTTAGTCTGATCACTACTAGGCTGAATTTTGAAAGAAGTAATTTCATGTTGCCATTGTATGTAAACATTTAGAAATTTATGGTATAGACACTACTGGATAAGAATATCTTCTCTTTTTAATTATCATGCACATTAGTAGAGAAACATGTATGAGTATATAAAATATTTCAAGTCTATAATTGGTTCTGATTGCAATAATGCTCAGCAGTGTGGAAAACTGTTGCCTAACTAATGAAAATTTCCATAGCCTTAAATTATTTGCAGATCAAGATATTGACCAACTGGTATCACAATTATAGAGTAATTTAGTTTTCCTTTGCTGAGGCTGCTTTTATTTTGCTTTCCTTTGGATGTTAGATTAAGTGTTGCCTTTTTAAAATAAGGATGAAAGAAGCTGTTTCTACATTCAATATGAAACTGGAGAAGGGATTCATTATAGATTACCAGTCACTATGTCATGTGTCATTTAATGGTAGTTTGTGTTTAGAATGCTGTTTTGTTATTTCCCCAACACTATGAGAAAAAAGGGGTAAGAACAATATGCATCCACCTGAGTACAATGATGAATGAATGTGTATGAACTCCATGCTGAAAAGTCACCACAAAGTTACATAAGGAACCCCAGTGGGATAAAATCAAAACAGACGGAGGGTTTCTCTTAATTTTCTGTGCTGATGTTTGTATCATCATGACAGCTGTGTAAGGACTTGGTCACTGAGTTGAAGTTAAGAGGAGCTGGGTGTATATTTTGCTTTTAAGCTGTTGAAATTAAACCTAAGGCAGTGCTTCCCAATCTTGGTGCACATTGAAATCATCTGGAAGTTTCAACAACCACTATTTATTCCAAAGTTTTACAACTCAAGATTATTCTCAATTAATTTTGGATGTGATCTGTGCAGCAGGAGTTGTGTAAACTCTTTAAGTTGCAACCAAGTTTTAAAACCATTGAAGTGTCTTCTAAATTGATTGCCTTATATTTTCTTTCGTCCCTTTTCTGATGTGTTACTTGCAGATATTTCCTCCTAATCCCAGGATTATCTCATTACTTTATTGTTTCCCTTACTATGTAAAAGCATTTGAATTTGATGTAACTCACATCTATTTTGTTTTCATTACTTGTGCTTTTGGAATCATGCCCAAGAAATATCTGTCTAAATCATAATCATGGAGTTTTTCTCTATGCCTTCTTCTGATGGTTTTGTAGTTTTACACCTTGTTTAAGTTCACTCAATTTTTGATTTGATTCTTATATTAGGGGTGTAATAAGGGTCGATTTCCAATCTTCTATATATGGATATCCAGTTTTCTCAATATTATTTTTCAAAAGGAATCATTTCTCCAATGTATATCCTTGGTATTTTTTTGAAAATCAACTGAGCCTAAATTTGTTGGTTCTAGTCCTATTCCATTGGTGAAATTGGATTGCCAATATCACGTTGTTTTGATCACCACAGCTTTGTAACATAGATTGAAATCCAGTAGTTTGATGCCTCAAAAATTTTTCTTTTTGGTCAATATTTTGGCTATTTGGGTTTTTATTCTGGATCCGTACAAATTTTAGAATTACTTTTCCTGTTACCATGAAGAATGGCATTTCAATTTTGGTAGTGAGTATAGTGAGTATTGAATCTGTTGATTGAGTTGTATGATTATCTACTTATTTATTTGGGAGGCAGTGAGAAAGCGATCCCAAACCATTGGTCCCTTGGTTCAGTTCCAAAATGTATACAAGACCTGGAGTGGGCCAGGTAGGGTCTGCAACCTGGAGCTGGAATGGCAATCCTTGTCTCCCAAGTGGGAAACAGGAACTCAATTTTAAGCTATGACTTCTGCTTTCCAGGGTCTATACAAGCAGGAAGCTCAAGTCAAGAGCTGGAATTCAAGCTAGAAACTGGACCCAGGCATTCTGATGTGGGATGTAGGCATATTAACTACTAGGCTAAATACTCTGTCTTCATTTATTATTTCTTTATTTATATATAATTATAGTACATGAATACAGATTCTCTTTCCATTTGTGTCATTTTAAACTTCATTGATCAATATTTGATAATTTTTATTGAAGAGATCTTTTACCACCCAGGTAAATTTGTTTCTAAGTATTTTATATTTTTACTGCTATTATAAATGGAATTGTATTTTTGGACAATGAACTTGAGTAGACATTTCACAGAAAATACACAAATGGACAAAAATATTTGAAAACATTTTCAACATCCCTGGTCATCAGGCAAATGTAGTTAAAATCCTAGTGATTTATCACCACACCTGTTATACTCACTACTATCAAAAAGACAAAACATAACAAGTGGTGGCAAGGAGTAGAGAACAAGGAAATCTTATATACTGTTGATGATAGTATTATAAACTTCTATAGCCATTCTGAAAAAAAATGGAGTTATCTAAAGACTGAAAATAGAATTAGCACATGATTCAGAAATTGTACAACTGTATATAGCTGTGGTTTAGATATAGTTTACTTGTGTACTCCTAAAGCTTCATGACCTTAGATGTTTGGTCTCTAGGATAGTGGTATTGGGAGGTGGTAGAAAATTTAAGGGGTGAGGCCTGTTGGGAGGTCTTTAAGTCATTCCTGTTACCAGGAAGTTCTCCTGTGACTTCTTGAATCCTCCAGAGCAGGCTGTTATAAAAGGAGCAAACCAGGACCCACCCAGCTTCTCTGCTCATGGTTTGAGATGTGATCACTTGCTTGCTCACATATCTACTCCATCTTTACTATCCATGCCATGAAATAATGAAGCCAATGAGTGGCCCTCACCACCGTGTCTGTTCTATGCCTTATGGATTTTGAGCCTCCCAAACTGTAAGCTAAATAAACCTCTTTTCTTTATAAATAGCCTGTGTCAGATATTCTGTTAGAGGATGAAAAGCTGAAAAATATTAGTATATACCCAAAGGAAATTACATCAATATGTTGAAAAGATGCCTTCATTTCCCTGTTCATAACATTATTCACAGTAACCAAGACAAGGAAATAACTCAAATGTCTATTAACATATGATAGGATTTACAAACAGATGCAATAATACACACACACACACACACACACACTATTAAGCCTTAAAAAACACAGGAAATTTTGTCATTTGCCACAACATAGATGAACCTACAGGATGGTGAATGAAGTAAGTCAGGCACATGGAGATAAGCACCATATGTATGTGGAATCCCCAAAAGGCCGACTTCATAGAAGTAAATATTAGAATGGTGTATACCAGATGCTGGGCGTGGAGGGATAATGTGTGGGGAAAAGTAAAATGTTGAGTAAACATGGCAAAGTTAGAGTGAGGTAAGAGAAATAAACTCTGGTGTTTTATTGCACAGTAAGGTGACTATAGGGGATAGGGAGGGAGGATGAGAATATCATTATATTCTTAGAATTGTATCTGTGTACTACATTGATTCTATTCTCTTTGTATTGAGATTACATCAACATAAAAGTATCATATGTAAAGATACAAAAACATCTAAAAGGAGATTCTAAATATTATTATCACAAAGAATGTACAAATATTTGAAATGATTTCATGCTAATTACTTTCATATTATCATTCCACACTGCATAAATATGTCAGAAATATAAGTGCATCTGATAAATATACACAATAATTATCAATTAAAAATAAATAATAAAAACATTGATGTAGAAAACTTCAGATTAAGAGGGACTTACAGAAGTCGAAGCTCCTTTTTATGATGTGAATTTACCTTTCTCTCTTTGTAACTGTTATTCCAGGAGTGTTCCCCGGATCAACAGCATCAGCCACACCTGAAAGAATAATAGAAATACAGAATCTTATTCATATCACCTATTAAATCATAAACTGTGTCTTATCATAAGCCTCAAGTGTTTTGAACGTCATTAAAGCTTGAAAAAATGCATATTCATAGTCATTTCCTTCACTGCTGCTTTTCTCCTTTCACAGTTTGCTTGCCTTCTGCTATTCAATGGATATCAGCTATCACAGAAATTGATGTCCAATCCTTTTTTAAAAAACAGCTGATCACTTTATTTCCCCAAATTGGGAACTTCTAAGCCAGATATTTCCTGTCCACTGTTCCCATTGAGTTTCCCTAAATATGAAAATACAATTCTAATTATTAAAATTATTTTTGCATAAAAATTTTCAAAAAAATCTCTAGTTGTTTTTACTAGTCATAACTCTCATGGTGGTGGATGCTAGATTATGCTTTAAAGCATTTTAATATGTATTTCAAATTCTGTTACAATTTCCTGCTGAAGGATATTTCAGGAACTCAATGACTTTTGTTCTGAAGAATGATGTTTCAAAGATAAAATGCCTTTGAATGCTTCTAATATTTTATCTTGTTTGAACCTTCAACAAAGAACTTCCTCTGATGGCTCAATGTTAGCTGTGAACAATACTTTGGAGCTTTCCATTATCCTTCTGTAATAGCAAAAGGGGAATTTGCATCTGTCTGAGAGAATTGATTTTGTTATTTAAGCCAATCTGGTAGACCCATTGTGTTTGCAGCTTTATTCAGTATTAAAGTTATAGTTTATTAGACTAGTAATAAATCTTATGTAGTTTTTTCTCTCTCTTCTTGAATTAATGTAGAGCACTTGGGCCAACATTTGTCCTTGTGGTAAGACACTCACATCCCATACTGGAGTGACTGAGTTCCTCCCTTCTATCCTTCTTTCCTTCCTTCTTTCTTCCCTCTGTACCTCTCTTCCTCCCTCCCTCCCTCCTTCCTTCCCTCACTCTCTCTTCTTTCCTCTATCTTTCTGTATCTCAAATTACAAAAATAAATTTTTAATAAGTGGAATGAACACTATGAGAAACGGTGACTTGATCAGCCCTCACCCTGACTGTTGATGAACAATTTAATATGTTATCCCTCTTAGTATTTTTTTTTTGTTTGTTCTACTTAATACTTTTGGTTGAATACTGTAATCAATACACAATTACTCTTAAGTGCAGTCGGTGAACTCAGGGGGCTTCCATAGCCTTGGCAGCTCATGACAAGAGCCTGGGGTGATTACTGAGGCCATAAACAAGAGTGTCAATTTGTTAAGTCAACAACAGGAGTCACTGTGCACTTACTCCTCATGTAGGATCTTTGGCCTTAGTGTGCTGTACATTGAGATTTAATGCTATAACTAGTACTCAAACAGTATTTTTCCTTTTTTTTATTATTTTTTGACAGGGAGAGTGGACAGTGAGAGAGAGAGACAGAGAGAAAGGTCTTCCTTTGCTGTTGGTTCACCCTCCAATGGCCGCCGCGGCTGGTGCACCACGCTGATCCGAAGGCAGGAGCCAGGTACTTCTCCTGGTCTCCCATGGGGTGCAGGGCCCAAGCACCTGGGCCATCCTCCACTGCACTCCCTGGCCACAGCAGAGAGCTTGCCTGGAAGAGGGGCAACCGGGACAGGATCCGGTGCCCCGACTGGGACTAGAACCCGGTGTGCTGGCGCCGCAAGGCGGAGGATTAGCCTAGTGAGCTGTGGCGCCGGCCCTCAAACAGTATTTTTCACTTTATGTTTCTGTGTGGGAGCAAACTCTTGAACTCTTTACTTAATGTATGCTAAACTGATCTTCTGTATATAAAGAGAATCGAAAATGAATCTTGATGTGAATGGAAGGGGAGAGGGAGTGGGAAAGGGGAGGGTTGCGGGTGGGAGGGACGTTATGGGGGGGGAAGCCATTGTAATCCATAAGCTGTACTTTGGAAATTTATATCCATTAAATAAAAGTTAAAAAAATAAATTTTTAATAAATGGAGTAGCTTTTTACATGTTGAATCTGTACTTGTCATTAGTACTGATCCTCCTTGAAACTGGCAATTTTTTTCTGCTCCACTGCTTACTCTTGTCATAGTACAACTATGCTCCGTATTGTAAAATTATATCAATAACAGAACAAACTTAAATGACAAAAATTAACGAGTTCATCATCAAGAATGATGATGTGGCATGAAATTCACAACCTTGTGGTTTACTCACATATCTTGTGGTATTTTACATTTTGTTTATTGCTAGTTGTATTTCTATAACAGTACTAATGGAAACTATTTTATACAATTAAAATTTTTCATGAATGAAAAGGAATCATAAAGGCTTTGCAGAAAAGGAGAACATTTGCAAAAGTGGGAGTCTTGTTTTGACATTCACACTAATCTTTATGTTGCAGAAATTGACTAGTCAACTTAGATACGGTGTTAAGTCTTCTCATTATAGGAATATTTCAAATGATTGTATAAGGAATGCATAATTCCTAAGAACCTAATCATTTAAATTAAAGCTATATTTCCTGACTATGTTATGATACAAAAGGATAAAACTCTCATCCATTTAATGATTTATGAAATGCAGGAATCAAACTGCCCAACCAAGTTAACAACTTCCTCCTTTACCATGCCCTGGTTTTGAAACTCCTGTCTCTCTTCAGATTTCCATCCATTAAATTATAGCTGAATTATTACTCTCTAATTTGGGTTTGGACTTAGGCTTTTTATTTTTCCCATCAGTAAACCTAAGTGAACTTCTTGCACTGAAGGTCCCAGAAGAGTCATGCTAGACTTTTTTTTTACTTCATGTTCCATGTTTTAGAGGTTATTTGTCTCAGAAGAGCAATTCACCATAACCTGACCCCTAATGGTTTTGGATATTATTTTGAGTTAATGGCTAAAGCTCATGAAAGAATGTAAAACATTTGCCTTCAGGATTTTTTTTCCTTGTTAGAACTTGGTGGAAGGAATTAATGATAAATAAAACGACAGCTTGTTGGGTTATCTAGAAGATATAAAATATGGTGTATTCATAGGTTTCCAACTACCACCTGGTCAGTCATGTTAATTTGATTGCGGTAGCTTGGAGATTGGATCTGAAAGAATGATATTCCTGGAACATGTAATGGACAGATAGATTGGCAATAGATTCTCAAGTTACCTAGCACTGTGATAAGATCCAACTGTCTGGGACTGGCATTGTAGCATGGCGGGTAAACCTGCTGCCTATGACACTGGCTTCCCATATGGGCACTGGTTTATGTACTGGCTGCTCCACTTCTGATCCAGCTTCCTGTTAATGGCCTGAGAAAGCAGCAGAGGATGGTCCAAGTGCTTGGGCCCCTGCTACACATGTGGAAGACCCAGGAAGCTCCTGGCTCCTGCCTGTGGCCTGGGCCATCCCTAGCCATTGTGGCCATCTGGGGAGTAAACCAGTACATGGAAAATTCTCTCACTCTCTCCTTTTCTTTGTCCCTCCCTTTCTCTGACTTTCAAATAAATAAATCAATCTTAAAAAAATCCAACTATCATAGGAAATGACACATTGGAGTGGTTGGTATGACTAGAATTCACTGCTGGTAGTCTTCAAGGTTTTGGGAATGCTGTAATAGAGGTATAAACATTTTGATGCAAGGTTTAGGTTGTATTCCTTGATGTGAAATGCTACTGATGTGAAACACAGTGAGATGAACATTTTTCTGAGCATATTTAGGCCTCCTAAAATGAGCAATGTGTATGACAAAAAGGTAAGCATGAACTCTAGGATTTCAAGCTTCATCATGATTAATCGAAAATCATTTAAAATTTTACTTACTCTCCCTTCTCTATATCCACTTTAATTGGGGAGAAATGTTTCTAATTTCTGTAGGTAGCAACTCTTTTCCAGCTTTCAAAGTCTTTATTATTGTGTTACCCTGATCTAGACCAATCCTAAAATAGGACCTGGAATTTAGGATGTTTCCATTCAAGTAAGGACTCGGTAGCCCCAAACACATGTCTACTTTTACAAAATTGACTCTGGAGCCACAGTGACAAAGGGAACTCTTCCCATCAAAGTCACCTTTAATTTTTGAGATACTACCTCCCAGAAAAGTCAGATAATGCATGAAAATATGATTTGCTCTTGAATTATTGTGATGAGTCAAAAACTCATTCACATCAAGTCTTATTGCTTAGGCCAAACCCAACAATAGCCAATTCATGTGATTAGTAGATATATAAATGTTTATAATTAAAAATTGAAAATTCAGAGCTCTTGAAGATATTCTTTTCAATTTCAAAATATATTATTTAACTTGGGAACATACTGTTTGGCAAGTACTATTTTGGCCACCCTGTAAACATGTTTAACCCTTACATCTAGTTGGTATGTATACTTAATCCTCATTTCATGTAAGACTCAGACTTAGAAAGCCTCTTAACTGATGCTCAGTCAGATACTTCCTGACAGAATTTGTATTTGACACAAGGATTGTCTGACTTAAGAAATAAAACTGTTAGCCACTGTGTGATTATTGCATCAGAAAGAGCTAAAGAGTCATTCTCTAAGATGACATGTGATAGAAGACCCAAAGAAACACTTGCATCAAAGTATTTAAGTTGTCTATTATAATATTTCCACAATCTTAAAAAGACTACCTGCCATGAATTCTGGAGATGTTAACCATTCTAACCCACCACTGTCCAAGATAGTTGATCTTTGTTCAGAGTGTCAGGTAACTTGAGAGATTGCAGAAGCTGCTACTTCTGTCCTTTATATGCTCTGGAATATCATTTATCCAGATCTAATCTCTAAGTTACCTGCTCATATTTGATAATGGCTCCTCTGGTTGTGGTTATCACTCTAGGAATATGGCATATTTTACCTTCTGTGATGATCTAATTAATTGACATCCTAGTCATTATCAAGATTTTCTATTTTCCCGTGCTTTTAAAACATCAAATGTTTGTGTTCAGCCCCCAGTTTTTAATCATAGTTGTGGTATTATATTGCCATTATTAGTGATTAGTAATGGA